CTACGCCTCACGAACAACTAGTGCCGGTACCACAGTCTGCACAAGAAGTGCAGAGTGTAGTATGAGTACAACCGACTCCATGTACTCCGTAAGTGTTGAGCCTAAACTCGACGAGGCAGTGACGAAGCTATGACAAGACAACCAGTAGTAAACCTGTGCAGATAACAATATACGTACAAGATAACAAGTAATAAAAGCTAAACATGTACTATTGGAAGGGGGACATGCTAAAGGGGATACATGATACGAGAAATTCAGCGGAAATGATAACCAGAACAATCAATGTGCCTTGAACCAGTAAAAATAATTAAGCACAATGAAGAAAATTGCACGGCATCACCCCTTGTGCTTTTACTCTAAACCTCACAATGAAACAATGATACTGCACGGCATCACCCTTCGTGCTTTTACTCTCACTCTCAGTATAAATCAATAGATACGGCATGGCATCACCCTTTGTGCATTAACTCTCATAATATGGCACGGCATCACCTTTCGTGCATTAACACTCAAAATATGGCACGGCATCACCGTTCGTGCATTAACTCACAATCTCACAATATGGCACGACATCACCCTTCGTGCATTAACACTCTCCCTTACCATAAAACAATGAACAAGTGATAACAGGAGATAGGATCAACAAGAACAAGCCTTACTTCAACAAAGGTTCCACAATACCAATCTCAACTTTAGAGTCAATACTCAATTATCACAAAAACCATAAACACGGTAAGAACGACCAATTTAACAAGTGACTAGTCTAAGCATGGATAACATGATCAAAGTAAGCAATAATTACAAGGAACAAGTCTCACCCGCATGCTTTAACCCAACAACAACGCATAAGTACTCGTCACCTCACATATACGTTGTACCCAACATCTAAACATGTAGCAAATAGGCAACTAAGTCTTAATCCCTCAAGTCAAGGTTAACCACGATACATACCTCGCTCCAAGGATCAATTCAAAGCTCAACCACGGCTTTGCCTCTCAAACAAGCCTTCGAACCAATAGAATCTAGCAAATTACCAACAAACGATTCAAATTAAGCCTTAGGAACTACTCACGATTGAAAAGAATTCAACTTAGGTCATTATTGAAAAAGTCAACAAAAGTCAACTCCCGGGGCGCTTGGTCCAAACCCGAAATTCGGACCAAAATTCGATTACCTATCCACCCCCGAGCCCGGTTATGTAATTTGTTTTGGAATCCGACCTCAATTTGAGGTCTAAATCCCAATCTTACAAAAATCTCTAATTCTACCCAAACCCCCAATTTCCACCATGATAACACTAGATTTTAGGTCGTTATGAAATGTAATGAAAGATTGAAAGAAAATGGGTTAGAATCACTTACCAATGATTTGGGGAAGAAGCGTGCTTGGGAAAATCGCCTCTAGTGTTAACTTGTTTTGAAAATTTGAACAATGAACAAAAATCTCGTCTAACTCCTAATTTGTTCAGTTGCAGATGTCACATTTGCGACCAGGGGTTCGCAATTGCGAATCCCTACAAATGCGAAGAACACCTCGCAAATGCGAAGTCTGCGCACCTCTGCTTTTATCGCATTTGCGATGAAGTGTTCGCAAATGCGAACTCTGGCCTCCCCGCAATTACAACCTCTTGATCGCAAAAGCGAACTCATGCTGACCCAGGTACTCTTCGCAAATGCGAAGAATTTGCTTGCAAATGCTAGCCTATCAGGATTGGGGAATGTTCGCAAATGCAAACATTGATCTCACAATTGCGAGATCAGAGACCAATACCAAAAATTACAGAACACTAGCTGAATTCTAAGTCTAAACCACTCCGTAGCCTATCCGAAACTCACCCGAGCCCTTGGGGCTCTAAACCAAATATGCACACAAGTCTAAAAACATCATACAAACTTGCTCGCGCGATCAAATCGCCAAAATAACACCTAAAAATACGAATTTAGCATCAAATCAAAGGTAATTTTCAAGAAACCTCATGAACTTCTATTTTCACAATCGGACGTCCGAATCACGTCAAACCAACTCCGTTTCTCATCAAATTTGACAGACAAGTCATAAATGTACGTAGTTTTGGACCTATACCGGGTTCCGAAACTAAAATAAGGACCCGATATCAATAAAGTCAAACATTGGTCAAACTTTCAAATTCATTAAGCTTTTAAACTTTTAAATTTCAACGAAGTGTGATAACTCGGGCTAGGGACTTCCAAATTCGGTTCCGGGCATACACCCAAGTTCCAAATAATGATACGGACCCACCGGGACCGTCAAAACACGAATCCGGATTTGTTTGCTCAAAACGTTGACTGAAGTCAACTCAAATAGATTTTTAAGACAAAAATTTCATATTTTCTCAGTTTTTAACATAAAAGCTTTACGGAAAAACACTCGGACCGTGCATGCAAATCGAGGAGGGCTAATATGAGGTATTTAAGGCTTCAAAGGAGTAGAATTAGATTCTAAAATATAAGATGACCTATCAGGTTATCACAATTATATTTTTGGTGTGCTTTTGTGGCTGGGAGATAAAAGCAGAAACCTCTGGCTCGGGAGCAAAGAGAAATAGAGGAAAATTTCCTCTTGCATAATTTTTCCCCGGAATCTCTTTACGTATTATTAGAACTGTCATTTCATTTAAGATATCGTTTCGTGGTGTTGTTATTAACAGCGTTATTAATAGCCATCAAAGTGATAAAGCGATGTGTAACAAGGGGTTATGAAGTGTATGCCTCAAACAATATCATACAAAGCGATCCAAATGAATAGCAGCATTTCTTTTGAATTTTAGTTTTGAGGAGTTAGATTAATGTTGGTATTATTGTCCCATTGGATGATGATGAAATTAGTTATTTTAATTTGATTAAATCAGTACTAAATTTAGATATGTTTGGCCTTTTTAATTTTCCAAAGAAGCTTGAGCTTCGTTCTTCAAGCTCCACGTATCTTATCGCCTTTTTTTGTATTTTGCAAAAGCTCTTCAAGCTCCACGTATCTTATCGCCTTTTTTTGTATTTTGCAAAAGCGATAAATCATGCGTATCGTTGCCCATGAATAACCCTAGCTGGGAAAGTGATACACTAATTATTAACGTTATGAATGGATATTTCACTCGTTCGGAATAGGAAATTCAAAATTTAGATTAAGAAAAATGAAGGAAAATATTTTATTTATAAATCTGTGAATGGTCTCTACACTTCTTTATTTCCTTCACACATAAAATAAGCTATTAATATCCTTGTTTATAATAGTATGAAACCTATGTCAACTAGAAACAAGAAAGTTTATTCCTATATTTATTCTAACTACAAATCCTATTTAGACATGAATTAAATAAACTAAATCCTAAATAACTAAGGTTTCCTCTACAACTTTGAATTACTTTTCCAACATTTTCCCGTAATTCAAAGTTGTATAGGTCTGACTTGTTCGTTGTACAGTTATGTTGGAGCACTTCTCTCCAACTCTCTTTTGATGAAGCACATGTCTCCATCCCTCAATTTGATGAAGCACCTGTCTCCAACTCACATTGATGCACTTTGTCACCAACCCAATTTTGTTGAAGCACCTGTCTTCAACTCACATTGATGCATTTTCTCACCAACATCAAATTTTGTTGAAGCACTTGTCTCCAACTCCCGTTGATGCACTTTGTCACCAACACCCAATTTTGTTGAAGCACCTATCTCCAACTCACGTTGACGCACTTTGTTACCAACACCCAATTTTGTTGAAGCACCTGTCTCCAACTCACGTTGATGCACTTTGTCACCAACACCCGATTTTGTTGAAGCACTTGTCTTCAACTACCGTTGATGCACTTTGTCACCAACACCCGATTTTGTTGAAGCCCCTGTCTCCAACTCATGTTGATGCACTTTGTCACCAACCGTTGATGTACTTTATCACCAACACCCAATTTTTCCTTCTTTTTTTTGTTTTTTTTTACTTCTCTCCAACTTTTAGAGAACAGAATTTCTTCATCTTGTGCCATATTTGTTTGCACCTCTTTAAACTTATTTTTTTCTTGAATCTGTCTTGAAACTTTTCATCAAATAATCTAATTTTGTTGACAACTATCTATGATTTTGCCAACATATTTTTGGCCAAACGGGCGGCACACTTTAGCTAGCGCGACCCCCGGTAACGGAAGCTATTTGATTCTCTCCCAAGATCGTAGAAGCTCTGATACCAATATGAAGGAAAATATTTTATTTATAAATCTGTGAATGATCTCTACACTTCTTTATTTCCTCCACCCATAAAATAAGCTATCAATATCCTTATTTATAATAGTATGAAACCTATGTCAACTAGAGACAGGAAATCTTATTCCTATATTTATTCTAACTACAAATCCTATTTAGACATGAATTAAATAAACCAAATCATAAATAACTAAGGTTTCCTCTACAACTTTGAATTACTTTTCCAACAAAAAATCTAGTCACTAATCATGTATTAGAAAGAAAGCATATTTACATCTTAATGAAAATAATATTATTTATACACTTAACCCAAAAGAAACTTAAAACGATATTTGAAGTTCAATTACATGATTATTACTTCAGATATTCCGGTTAACTGTAGAATTAGTTGTGTTTTTCTTTTAGCATATGTGTTTCAATTTCCTCTTCATTAGCATTGAGCTTGTTATAATTTAAGTGTTTTACTTTTCTTTTGAGTTTATTTTGAGAAAGAATGATATATTTTTATATTTATTAAATTCTTAATTGCAATAACCTACTCTTAATCATACTCTCTTACAAAAATGATATGTCACCATATGATTTAAAAGGATATTCGATATAACATTACCTACTACACTTATACTTAGTGCATAGTATAGCGTAAGTATATATATTCGATATAACATTACCTACTACACTTATACTTAGTGCATAGTATAGCGTNCCCCCCCCAACCTAAAAAAAAGGAAAAAAGAAATAAATAATATATAAATCTATCTTATAAAAAAAAAAAAACAGAAAAGGAAAAATTGTGGTCCAAATAAAAGGTCAATTAGAGTCGGAAACTCTTGCATACAAAATCCAATTCCAGAAAGGCCTCAGCTTTCGCAGCAACCGATTCTCAACTCCGATTCCACAGAGGTAAATCTCCTTTTCTTCTTACACCCAATTCTCCCTCTTTTCGCTGTATATTTTCTCTTTCTGTTCACTTTATTCGTGGATTTTGCATTAATGGGCCCTAATCAGCATTAGCGATTGCGATCTCATATTCTAACACTTCAATTTTCTGCTGATTTCTGCTTCAATGTATTAGATCTGGATCCCATTGTTGTTTGACTTGTTTTGACCGCTGTTCATCTGAATTCTACTCCCATTTTTTTTGTTTTGGTCAACTTGATTGTTAATCTACTCTACCTGTTTGACTGAGAATTGCATAATGACGAATCTGTAATTTTACTCCCGACGGGTGGCGCGTGAGGGCGTGCTTCATGCTTATACGTTTCTGATCCAGATTTTATGTTTTGTTCTTCTTTGTTTGGTAGTCTATTTTTGTAAGATGCCTAAATTTTTCTAATCCTGATCTGACAATTGAATTAATTAGTATTAGTAAAATTTCTACTTGCTTTACCTAGATTTTACACTTTACAATTTGGTGTCTTTGATGGCAGGGATCCAGCTTTTGTTTCTTTAATACTAGGTATAGGGTTTAGTTGAAAAAGAACTTTTCAGCATTATGAGTGTCCAGCTATATGGTTCCAAGTTTTGATTTGACTAGAAAAAAAGATAAAAACAAGAACAACATAGGTGCTCTTGGAATCCTGTTATCAGTCAGGTGACAGGTTACAAGCCCGATGAGGATATAGTAGAAAGTATACAAGCCCCGTGTTGTGCATGCCCAATGTTGGCACGACACAACACGGATGCAGGATTTGGGTGTTTGTTTTGGATCTGGCTTACTGAGATTGGCTAGTGTGGCTTTGACCAAAAGTAGATGAAGAGAAAGGATGAAAAGACAGGGAAGAAACAGCGGGGAATTGTCTCGCTTCTGACATTAGAAAATAGTTCCTTGAGTCGAAAAGATTGTGTTTTGAGAAGAGAGCGTCAATAGCTTTCCCTGCTTATTTACTATTTAGCCCATAATCTTCTTACTTCATTAGCTCCAAGTTAATTGCAAGCCATGTGTTTTCTAGATTTGTTAGGTTTTGAACTAGTTAATATTGGACTGTGAAAACAGATTAACGTCTTCTCCTGTACACATAAACGTGCGTAAACACATATGCAATTCTACTCTTGGAATCTGATAATGCTGTAAATTAACTGCTTTTGATTTTTCTTTTCGACTCACAATGTTATTAAGCTTAAGATGTATTACTATAAAACATAAAATTAACTAAATACCATTGCTTATAAATTTTGTCTTGATAAAGTCGATTATAATGGTCCAATTGAGGCTTTATGACTTTTCTTTCTTGTTATAGTTTCATGCATGGTAATTCATGGGTTTGTCTAAAATATTTACATTTCATTCTTTATTGCAGTTGTCTTAGTGTTATAGACGAGTATGGCATCTAGCAGTGGCCAGAATGGAATTCAACTCCTTTTAGCTGCCGAACAGGAAGCCCAGCACATTGTCAATACTGCCAGGACTGGTAATTGCTTTTACCTTCTTTACGAATCCAGTTTTCTTACCTTTTGACCTGGATCTCTGTCGGTCAACTACTCTGTCACATTGCTATTAGGAGAACTTAATAATGGCCAACATGCATGAGCTATTTGCAAGTCTCGTCTCTGTTGCTGCAAATCCTTGTCACTGTGATACTTCCTGGGCACTTTTATTTGTTCTGTAGTGGTCTGTGTGCTTATTGCCTTGGAATGCTTTCATAGTTCTTTATTGTAAGAGTTAGCATATGCTAGTTGTGTTTACAGTGGTGGGTAATTGTTGAGTTGTAGTATGGTTATTTTCTGATTGTCATCTTCAAGGATAAGGATGAACTCCTCTAGTGCTCATCCATGTTGTGATGTGCACTGGCTGAGTATTAGATCCAATATTTTGCATGTATTTGAAATATTTCCTTATGCCAATGGATACTTTCCGGAACATTTCTAAGCAATGCCCTCTTTCTCAAACTAGATATTTTTGTTCTAATTGCTGGTTAGCCACAACCATCAATGTTGCTCGGACTCTCCGGAAATATTGCTGGGTGCGTGTCGGATCCTCCAAAAATAGTGTATTTTTGGAGGATCTGATACTGGTGCGACAACATTTTGAAGAGTCCGTGCAACATAGACAACCATTCAATATGCATTTGTTACGAGCGTAAGAGGATTTCTTCATCATTAGGACATTTCTGGGGGTGAGAGAACTTGCAAAAGCTTTTTTCTTTATGCTGGATTCCTACCAGAAGGACAGGCATAATGATATGAGGGATTTTAAGTTATTGAACAATAGGTTAGTTAATGGATGTCATGCTCCAGTGGTCAAAATCGTTGCATCCAAAAGCTTATATTCCATATCTTTTTCTTTAGTGATCAAACAAAAATGAAACCTCATGTTTTGATGTCTTCTATTCCTCTCGCCTAAATTGTATAAGCTGTGTCGCTAGTCTTTTAAACCTTACCATTTGAGCGTTGTGGATGCTTGGGATCAGGTTTATAGAACTGCTAACTTGAGTTTCATCTGCAGCTAAACAGGCTAGATTGAAGCAGGCCAAGGAAGAAGCTGAGAAGGAGATAGCTGAATTTCGTGCTTACATGGAGGCTGAGTTTCAGAGAAAGCTTGAACAGGTAACTAAGAAACAAATAGTTTTGGAAGAAGCTCCCATTGGCATAGCAATGATATCAACTAGTATGTTCGTGGAAAATCATGACTTCGTTGTCCTCTTAAATGCTTTCCATTTTACTTGCTGCATTTTTACACTTGGGGTGTGTTTGGTATGAATCAATTTTTCCATGTTTGGTTGGGCTAAATGTTATGGAAAATATTTTCCTAGTGAATTCATTTTCCTCCAATTGGGGTAAATGACTTCCCTACAAAGGGAAGGGAAAACATTTCCCAAAATTTTGTTTCAACCTTCCCCACCCCTACTGCCACCCTGCAATCCACACCCTCGCCAGCTCAGGTCCCAGATCCCGACCTACCATTTTGCACCTTGACCTCACCCTACGCTGACACCCTTACCTACCCTCCAACCCTACGCCCCGACCCCCCCATCCCCAGAAAAACCCCCTACCACCAACCCAACCTCGGCCCCTCCTTCCCTCGCTTTGTCCCACCAACTCCTGTCACCTCTACCCCGCCCAACCCGGACATTGCAACTCGAAACACGGAGGTCGGGGCCTGGGTGTCACCTGGGGTCAGGGGCGGGGTTTCGAGGTTGAGGTTGAGTCTGGGGTCGGGGTTCAGTGTCGGGGTTCGAGGTTGAGATTCGGGTTGAGGTCGGGTTCATGGTCGGGGTCGGAGACCATGGTCCGGTGTCAGGATCGGAGTTCGGGTTTCGGGTCCGGGTACAGGATTATAATGTTTGCTTAAATTATATTAAAATGCTCTTGGGACAATATTTTCTTCTTACTAACCAAAGTCTAGAAAATAAGTAAGAAAATCACTTGTTTTCTAGTAAAATACTTTCTAGGAAAACAATTTCTGTGGTAAAAATATCACACCCTTGATTATAGCCAAAAGGCCGAGAAAGGTATTGCGATGCTGCATTTTTAAGCAACCCCATCTGTATGTTTTCATGTCCTCTTGGATCGTTAAATATGGTAAATTTTCTGCTCTAGTATATTTCTAAGTGGTGACGACAAAAGTCATTCCAAATTTAACCCTCAATAGCTGATAGTAACAATAGGCTCATTAAGAATTGCATCTATTTTTCAACTTCTCTTTTCTTCTCCTTTTTTCCTTTTTTATTGGGGTGTTGTTGTGGGGGTGGTGGGCAATGATTCTAGACTTCTCTGCTTAGCATTGACTAAGATTGGTTCCTGATTTCTGCTGTTTACAGACTAGTGGTGACTCAGGCGCTAATGTCAAACGTCTTGAGCAAGAAACAGATGCAAAGATCGAGCACCTGAAAACTGAAGCAGAAAGAGTCTCCCCTGATGTTGTCCAGATGCTCCTGAGGCACGTAACCACAGTGAAGAACTAAGATCTTCTGTGGGTGTAGTGGGTCAAGCTTAATGTTCATTTTGCAGATTTATGCTTCCCCCTGGTTTATGGTTTCTCTTGCTTGATCAGTCCAATGGATGTTCTCTATTTGTATTTTATGTTTATTATCATTATTTATTGTCTTGTCTGTTGAATAAAACAACTCACTCGAGCTCGTTTCAACCTGTGTGTTGTAAACTTAGATGAGAAACCAAGGTCAGATGACTAGGCATGGCTGCTTCTTATTTATCTAGAACTGAGGAGTCTTTGATTCGCAAATATAGTTGAATGCAATGAACTTGTCGCTGCATGCTTATGTTGTACTAAGTGATTCAGCTGTAAAGAGGAGTGAGAATGTATTTAAATGAATCATTGCTTGGTTTTTATGGGAATGGTGTTGATAAACTTGCAGTCTCAAGATGCTTTTTCTTTTCTGTGATCTTGAGGAGCTTTTCCGTTCCGTAGTTACGTTATTTACAATGTCTACTATCAGTCTGATTATAGTACAATTTCAAGAATGCAAAATGGAGAGGTCTTGAAGAATTTGCACTACAATTATACCACAAGAAATTAGTCCTATGGATAGAAGAACAGGTGTTGCTCTTGATATTATCTTTTCATTGTCCTTGCCTTCTCTATTGTGCATAGCCCATGCCATTGCGGGTGGTAGGACGCCATATAGCATTGTCATGCAGTAACCGCCCTGCAAAAGTCGCATTATAATGAATCGTTGGTCTTAGAAAGGCTTAGTTTTAATTAGTTATTGAATGAAACGTGAAATATTTAACTCACTGCTATATCTGTAGCAGCGGAAAATGCATCATCAGGAATCGTTGTCGACACAAGAAGAGGGGGAGCAATGGCAATTGCTGTTGCTGTGAAGCCTAAATTGTTTCTTCTCCACCATTTGCTTAGTCGGAGCTGAGAATTTGATCTCTGCTAGGAATTAAGATTCAAGTATTTAGATACTCTTCCTTTGAGAATCATATGTTAAACACTAAAAACCAAATGTTACCTGTAAATCTAATCTTGTGGATACATCTGGTTGCAAGTCAAGTTTATTGATTTGCTCTTTGAGAAACTCGGAGAAACTTAGAAGAGTACCAATTAGAGATGTTCCCACAGCTAGTAGTGAGAATGCTTGTACCATATATGACAATCCACTCCATTTCAGCCTGAAAATGTATTGTTTAAGATAAGAGTTTAAAGTGTAAAGGAAGTCAACTAAATGACAGCCATATTTTGTCAAATCCAAATACATCTAACCCGCAAGTCAAAACACTCATATCAGTTGAGATTTAGTAGTGCAATTTATAACAGGTGAATGAAGAGTGAAAAAATGACCTCAGAAGCAATTCAACAGGGTCAGCAACTTGATCAAGCTGGGATGATAGGCCAAAGGCAATTGCATCCCAGATAAGCAATGCCAGGAGTGGAACCAGACCACCAATCAACACTGAAGCTCTTATTCGTTTCAGATCACCTTCTAAGTAAGCACAAAGAACTGGTACCAAATCAAGAACACATCAATCACAATTTGGTAAAAAATAAAAGAAAGGAAGATAAACCTCAAAATTTTTGTTTTTACCTGGAGCTAGATCATGGTAGACTAAAGAGAATATCAAGACGGGTATCGTTGGTGGAACTTTTCCCCAGTCACTGTTTCCTGCATCTTCCGACCACCCTCCATATACACTGGCTAGAACCTCGATTACTACGAGCAGTCCTGTTTGCATTTTATTGCAATTATCACATTTTCTGAACTTTTTGGATAACCCTTTTGTGTGTTTCAGTGATCAGTGATCAAACAAGAAAAGCTAGCTGATTTCTTATAGTACCTATCATAAGTGCAGTGAGACATTGGTTGACTTGATCAGTGGCTTTAGTCCCACCTACAGAGATGAGAATTGTGAAGAGGGAAGTGAAGAAAAATCCCAAAATTGATTCTGGGAGATTGATCAAATGGCAGAGGATTTCGCCCGACTTGGAAATGTAAGCAATCATTGAAGTGTACCCTAAGAAGACATAGGTTAGTGTAGCAAAGACTCCACCCCATTCTCCTAGTGTTTCTTGAGCCATTGTTCTAATGGAGATGATCTCTAGCTCATTACCTTCAAATTTCACACTGTTCTTTTTGAGCAACCCCACATTGATTTCAACTAGTACAAGTGCTTCCACTAATAGAAATGCCCAACACATTGTCATAGCTATTGAACTTGGGATTATTCCCTGCAATAGACAACATAAACAATGCTGTAATCTTGTGCTATGAGAAGGGTGATCTTTATTTTGCTTTCAGATCAACCATTTTTAACTCTGCTCATTTTAGCTACTATGCTAGCTAGTAACTCAAAAACCAGTTCAACTTAATGGTTATAAGTTTGTGCTTATTTCTTTTTACTAGAATAACAATTATAGAGATTCAGCTTCCAACCGCGAATAAAAAGGGCAGCCCGGTGCACTAAGCTTCCGCTATGCACAAGGTCTGGGGAAGGCCCAGACCACAACGCAGCCTTACTCTACATTTCTACAAGAGGCTGTTTCCACGGCTCGAGCTCGTGACCTCCTGATCATATGGCAGCAACTTTACCATCCCGGTGCACCAAGCTCCCGCTATGCGCAGGGTCTAGGGAAGGGTCGGACCACAAGGGTCTATTATACGCAGCCTTACCCCGTATTTCTACAAGAGGCTGTTTCCACTGCTCGAACCAGTAACCTTCTGTCACATGGCAGCAACTTTACCAGTTACGCCAAGCCTCCTCTTCTTCCAACCACGAATATAAATCTAAATATAGAGGTTTCATTTGTGTAAACCTTGGTGCTTAGAGTTACTCACCAGCTGGTGGGAGATAGCAGGTATCTAGTCGAGGTAGGGGCAGCTGGTCTAGACAAACACCATTATTGAAGAAAATCACAAATGACGACGAAGATTCTTCTGCTAATCATATGGTGAGTGGTAAAAACAGTCATTATGAGCTAAGTAAAAGAGTAAATACCACTATTGAGAAATCTTGCAATTGTTTACCTAAGAATGTAATCTTAAGGACTTCTCATTGCCACTAAATGCTCTGGGCACCAAATTATGCACCATTATCATATGAGTAATTATTGAATGTTGATGGTGTAATGATAAAAGGTTGAAATTACAAAGAGAGACATAGTTACCGCAGGGGAAGTTTTTTGGGGAAGAGCAAGAATCCCAGAACCAATACTTGTCCCAATGATTAGAGCAACAGCACCTGCAACTGTGCCTTTCTTTTTATCAAATTTCTGAGTGATCTGTTCCTCTGATTTTGCATTTGCAAAGTATTCTTTTCCCTTTGTTGCTGAAATTTTCAAAGATTTTTGTACCCATTCTTGTCTACGTTGGCTGTGTTGAAAAGAACTGCAATAGGCACTACTGATCACAATGAGAATTTATAATTGAAAGATTAAAGTATTCAACTAGAGAGATTAAAATGACATCATACATACATTCTGGATTTCAAGAAAATAGTGTTCTTTTCTTGATGCCATAATGATAATTTTGCCCATAGATAATGTGAACTTGATTCATAAATTCTTGAGCTGATCTTCTCATTACTGAAGGAAGTTGAAGTTAGGTAATGAATATTCATGCCAAGGAGCTAGATTCCCACTATCTTGGAAGAGGAAGAATCTTGGAACTTGTATTGGTTAGTTGAAAGAGTTTGCAATTACTACACATTAGAATATGTTATGGCACATGTGAATGATGAGAGGTTGAAAGTAACTTTGGGACCACTAAAAAAAATCATTGTAACATAAGTTTCAAAATATCAGTATTTAAATATCTCTTCTTCCCTGAAAACAAAAGATATTAGCTCTAGTTATACATTGTGAGATTTCTCATGACCAAGCTTTTAAAATCTAACTTATTTTGAAAAGTATTTTTCTCAAAAGTGCTTTTCAAAAAGTATTTTTTAAGCTGGTACTTTTGAACAGTACTCCCCCCCATCTCATATTAGCAGTCGTGGTTACTAAAAATAGTTATCTCAAATTATTTGTTATTTTAAAAGTTCAAGACAAAATTGATTATATTTTTCCTTTTTTACCCTTAGTAATTGTTTACCTCGAAAACACGAGTAACAATTGAACTTGATTTATGATTTTAAAGATACGTGATTCAGTTCAATACTAATTAATAACCAAGAAATCTGAAGTATAAATGAAAGAAATAAGTAAAATCAAACCAGTATGTAAGCCAGTCTCGACCTCGAGCTAAGGTGACCTCGAGGTGAATCAAGAACATTAAAGCAAGAATAATAAAGTTAAAGGACAATTCTGATGAACAATGAACAAGAAAGTAAGAGAGTATATTCTTTTCCAATGATTGAGATCCTTACAAATGATTGGGGTCCCCTTTATATGATAGGGGAACCATAAATAAGGTACATTTCTATTTACAGTAAAGAATCTTATTGGGACAGCTGTCTAACCGCCTAGTACGGATTCGTACAAATCTATTTCGGGATTTACGCCACGATCTTGGGGACGTGGCAGGAATCTTGCTCATTCTGTTACAAATCAATAACGGCATTATCTCGAGGCTGCTCATATTAGGCTCCGATGTTCCTCGAATACTTAGTTCTTCGAGCCTCGTACTCCGTCCTCAGGCTCTAACTCGGTCCATATTGAGTCTATTCCTCGACGCGAGCCTTCTGTTCCTCGATATTAGCCTTCGAGCCCACAAAATCGGGGGCACCTGATTTCACCGTATATAGATAGTCCCCGCGTTTCTTAGAGTAAAATGATAAGAAACAATTTGAACCTTGATTTTCCGGAGTCTCTGATGATGACGCCATTCCCGTGACGTAGGCGCTCGAAGTGACCGAAATGTCTCTTCAGTTCGCTTCCCTAAAACATTAAATGCGTGCCAGTAATGGCCGGCCACTAGCGCCACCGAATCGTCGCCGCTTATCTATGAATACGGGACTCCTTTTTTGAATTAAGAACTTTACTTCTTCATTGAATTATCTCCGATCCCTTCTTCTCTTCATCTCTTTCTCTCACCACCTACTTCCGCCGCCCTTTAAGTGCCGGAAAATGCCAAGCTCCACCACCTTCCGCATTTTTTAGCTTAAAACCATGGAAAAAACCTCTAGAACAGTTCCTCAAAAAGAGAAGGCTTTTTCTTCCTCTTCCCGGCCGGCCAAACTTGTGGTGCCGACCCTTCACGAGATTATTCCCGGCCCCTGTGTGATAAAGAAAGATTTCAACATTGAAAATCCCCCCAATATCCCAGGCCGATGTGAACATGTATCTCGATACATTAGTTCGATATCGAAGAAGCATCTCAAGGCCATGAAGAAGGACTGTGGCTGGGGAGACGAGGTCGTGGTACAGATCCCCGACCCCGAGAAGAGCATCGCTACTTATGTGGAGGGGTTCTTAAGTGTTTACACTTACCCCTTCACACTGGGTCCCCTTGATCCGGTAGTGATGGACTTTTGCAAAAGGTACGAGGTTACTCTCGGCCTGATCCATCCCTCCTTTTGGTGCATCGTGATTATACTGCGCTACTTCTCCAGCAAGGCCGAGGGATTAGAGTTTACCCTCAACCATCTTATTCGGCAGTATCGGCCACAGCTGTTTCGAGGGCTGATCAAGCTTCAACGTCGATAAAAAAAAGCCTTCTTTGCTAGTAGTAACGACGAAGATAAAGACCGAGGCTAGATGATTTGGTTCGTCAGAGTGAGGACCTCAAACGTCATCCCTAGGAAAAAAATGCCATTCCCGGAGAAACAGAACTTCAAACGTAAGCGAAGTACTTTTCCAAATACCCTATCATATTCTACTTCCGAGTTTCGTAATGCCTTTACCTTTCTTATAGCCGTTTCTTGGATGCCCCATGCGATCCCGACCTCAAGGACTGGGTCCAAAAATTAGCTGCAACCTCCTCGTATGATGAGCGCAAATGGCGAGACTTATCGAGGGGCAAATAGGAGGCCAAGCACCACAGTTAGTTCTTCTCCCAGGTTTTCTGATGCTTTCCTTTTACTGGAGATGTTTTCCACACTTACGCTTATCTATATAGGCATTGGAGATGTCTATGAAATGAGGCTAGCCCCACCCGAGAAAGAGACCGAGTCCCCGCTTCCAAAATCAGGGAAGACAACAAGAGAAAAATGGCTTCGAAGCTCGAAGACCCCCAAGATGAGAGGGCCCCTACTCGGAAGCCAATGAGGAAACTTGTTCATGTGGATGTAGATTCGGCCCTCCAATTTCTGGACTAAAGAAAACAAGGGCGAAGAATCGGCACTGGTACCCCGAACTAGGAAATCGGTCGAGGCCGCCAAGCCCTCCGAACTAGATACCTTGCCTCGTGGTGAGGGAAGTCCGAAGGAAGACTTTGGAAAAGCCCTCGAGTCTCATGAGGTCGAGATCATTCCACCGTCTTCAACAAGTACACTAGAGGGGACAGGTGCTGAGAACCCCGAAGCTAATCAGAGTGCCCCGAGTGAGGAGCTCGGGGCCGTGACAATAAGTCACGCCCCTTCTTTACCATCTTACTCTGAGGAGGCGATAAATGGCGCTCGAGCTCTGCGAATGCCTGACCCGAGCAAGGTCCTTGAAGAAGATTCTTTTCAGGATTGTTTCACTGGGGTCGATGATGCCGCCGACCTTAATGATGCATCCACCCTCTTCGAAGAGGATCATCATCTCTTCTCTCAGGTAAACACTAACTTTTATTTATTGTAATTATTTTCTTCTCCCCTTCTCTTGACTAATATCTCTTTGTTTTTTGTGTAGGCCATCATAAAGTTCAGGGCCGAGCTAAGCCAATGTGAGGCCTGAGGCCGAGCTCAGGAAGTCTTCGGATGAGGAGAAGGCCCTAGCGCTCCTTTGTAGCCAAAAGGAGGAGGAGCTCAAGGACCTCCGGGCTGATTTGGCCAAAGCTCGCAAAAACAAGGCCGAGCTAAACAAGCAGGTAATTGCGATTTTGAAAGAGTATGGTCTTCTTGGCCTTACTGCGGAGGCTAACACTTCAATGTCTTAGCTGCAACAAAAGTTAGAGATGATCGTGCAGCTCCGGGGCGAGGTCGATCAGGTTAAGACTGACTGCCACCGATGGAAGGAGAACATGGATCGGCTTGCTGCTGATAAAGAAGCTGCTCTTTCCCAACTGGCCTCGCCTGAGACTCAGCTCTGATGTATTAAAGTGAAAAATCTGGCCCATACCAAGAAGATCGGGGAGCTCGAGGCTAAACTTGCTGAAGCCGGGGCCGAAGTTGCTGAAGCTAGGGCTAAAGTGGAGAGGACGAAGGCCACGACTGATAAAACCATCGCTGTGTACTTAAGGGACGCTGAGGCTGTTCAAGCAGAGCTAAAGGAGGCCTCTGACCGGGAAAAACAGAGTAATGATTTGGCCAAGTGCCAGTCCCGGAGGGAGATCCTCGAAGAAATCCACGCCCGAGGTTTCGACCTCACTGTAGAGATAGCCCAAGAGAAGGCGCTGGAAACCGATGCTAGGTTTCTCGTTTCTTCTGATGACGAAGATGTTGTTAGTGGCTCTGAGAGTGGGGGAGATAAGGATGGAATCCCCGAGGAGGAGGTTCCCAATGATGTGGCTCCCGAGGATGTGGCTTTCAAAGACGTGGTTCCCGAGGATGTGGCCCCCAAAGTAGATTAGTTTCTTAGGGTTTTGTCTTTGTTTATTTGTTTTTGTGTAAGGCCCCTCGTGGGTACTGTAAATACCCTTCATAAATATAAAGAATTCCCTGCTTCATCTTCAATTTGTATTGAATTCTGATTTGTCTTTATTTTGTGAAAATTTTTGATAACTTCAATGATGAAGTGAACATTGGCTCGGATTCTGAATATAACAAACCCTTAGGTTTTTTAATGATCAATGGGCGATCTTTGAACTTATAACAGAATACCTCTTAAAGTTTTTGTTAATCCTCGAGCTAAGCTTCAGTCTATTTGATGCGAGCTCGGGATGATGGGACTCTTGAGTCCGAGTTGAGTGAGAACAAGGTCTCGAACTCTGCATGCTTCGGCCCTTAGGCTCTTTTATATTGGCCCTAGGCTCTTTTAGATCAACCCTTAGGCTTTTTAAGTTGGGCCAATTCGGCCTCTAAGACAGCTATAATTTTTCCCTCTTTCGGCTAAAAGACTTAGTGAAAATTTCTTTATGCCTTAGCATGTGTTTTTGTATCCGTCGGGTTTTTCGAAGGTTCAATCGATCGGAACCCCATTTGTAATCCGTTTTTGTTACGATAATTTTAACACCTCTTGAGGCTTTTTCGAAGGCTGATGTTATCGAAGCCTTTAAATTATTCGAAGGGCTGATTTTATCGAAGCCCTTTTTTATTTGCTTTTGCCGAGGGTAGCCTAGTTTAACCGGTTTTTCAAAGTATTTGAAGGCCTTTAATTTGTAGCAGAAGTTGGACGTCTCCGAGCCGCGTTATTTCGGTCGTAGCCTTTATATGACCGTAGTCTTTAATATGGCCGTAGCCTTCGGGTATGTCTCTTGGACTTGTTTCCCGATAACCTTTCAAACTTGTTCGAAAGGTTAATCCCCGAGTATGATGGCCTTGGCCTTTATGTCGAGGGGATGCCTCTTTGAGGTCTTATGAGTTTGAGTTTGGATGAATCGAATGTTTTGACTGTCGTTGACAGTCCCCGAGTATTCGAGGTGTATTCGTGCTTTGGTCCTTGAGC